AAGAAACTCCAGCCTAATATATTTGACATGCTTCATGAAGCATGTCATTTTATTTACATAAAATGACATGCTTCATTTTATTTACATAAAAAAGGGAAAATGTGAGAACGTGCGCGAGATGGAAATCTTAAGAAAGCTATATTTATGTTATGTTATGTAATTTTGTGTAGTCATTATCAGGGCCGAGGACACGGGTTTCAAAGTGGAAGGGCACAATCGTCTTTTTAAATCTTTAAGCGCTTGAGTAGTACTTCTGTACGCAAAAATATTGGTCAATAACGGACGCTACTTTGGATTAGTCTTTATGACTTTTTGTGGCTGTTCCTATGCTAACCCAACAATATATTTCGATGAAAACATTGTATAGAGAAATATATCGTGAAAATTCAAATGAACAAAATAAAACATTATCAACGTTGACTTCGTAATAATTACGTAATTTTATCTCCATAAATAATGGTTTGAAATAAGTAAAAACGATCCGCAAAATTAATGAAGCGGATCGCATGCTTCTGACGGCGGTAAAGACTTGGTAATTTTTTTTAGTACCTTCCCCAAGTTATATTTGGATAGTTTAAATAGCTGTGAATAAATGAGTAATAAAGTTATGTTAATACTTTTTTGTTTAGATGCTAAATGAATTTCTATAAAACTCCGTTATTTTAAAGCCAATATAGCCCATATGTAGTTTTCTATGTAATCTTCTCGTTGAGAACCACTCCAGAAAAGTTTGTAACATAATTCCTTTTTATTTCAATTTTATAAAAAAATATTTTGTAAAATGCTTAGACCCTAAGTATCAATAAAACCTAATAAAAACATTTGTCCAACAACATCTGAAATTTCATTGGTGTCTAATAACATCTGTCCAAAATTTAAATAAATATTACAGATATATTTACATATTTTAATTAATCAATGTGTAATAACATCTGTGTAACTACGTCTGTAGATTAACAGAGATGAAGTTATTTTTAAGATGAATTAACTAGTAACGGCAGCCATTTAGATACAGCATCGTATCTAAATGGCAAGTAAAATTATTGCATCATCATGTCATGCATCATATTACATTATCATAATTATTATTATTATATATTATTATTATATAAACTTTTATTTTGTTGATTAAACAGTTACAATTACAATTTTCATATAATCATGTAAAAAATACATAGCGGCGTAAACAAAAACATGATAAATAACGTTTTTTATAATTTTTTGTATTTTTTTAATTTATAAATATGTATTTACTGTTCTAATAAGTCAGGGACTCAAAGAAGGTATAGATGATGCGTTTAACATCACAACCTTTTCATAGAGCCCCTATAGTCACTCGTTACTTTAATTTTTAAAAATAAAATAAAATTCAATAAAAACATATTTTTTAGTGTAACAAATTAAAAAACAAAAAATATTAAAAACAAGAAAATTAAGAAGAAGAAAAAATAAATAAATAAAAAAATACTGTAAACAAATACTGTAAACTTTAAAATGTATGTCAGGAATTAAGAAGATGCATTTTAGTTTCCCGTTTAAAAAGATGAAACGCTTTTTAGGTCTTTAATATTTTTATTTTGGAAATGATTCCATATTGATGGGCCACGGTTTGTAATTAAAAAATTTGACTGATGTGATTTAATTTTCCCAAAGGGATAGTTGTACCTGATATTTGAACGCAAATTATATTTTTCAGAAAATGATGTCAAGAAAATATCTGAAAAAACGCTTGGTACGCTAGGTAGGAAAATGTTCTTATACTTATACATAAAAATTAATAACTGTAATGTGTTAAACTTCTCAATATCTAGAACCATCATGCTTTTCATCACCGGGGCTGGGTTTTCTATTTAAATATTTAAATAGAAACTATTTAAATAGTTTACTATTTAAATATTTAAATAGAAAATATTTAAATAGTTATTATGTCTTTATTGTAAATATATGAAACAGAAAAAAAATTATATACTAAATTAATTATTAACTTCAGTCACATGACTTTTTCCGTGTAACAAGTTTAGGATATAAGTTGGTAATTAGTAGTTAAAGTTATATACTGAAGTATAAAGTAGTTAAAATTATATACTGAATTAATTATAAATTATTAGGAACTTCAATCACATGACTTTTTCCGTGTGACAAGTTCAGAATATAAGTAGTACATATAGGGGAAAGCGGGGCAACATGGCGAATGGAGCAAGATGGGTTTTCATATAACAACTCAACAAAAAATCTTAAAATTGGGTGAAAACAAAGCTGTATTTGCATCTTGTATTTTAAAACACTAATTGGCTTTTTGAAATATTATTAACGTAATTTTATACACATAAGTTTACTTTTAGCGCCTAAAAAAAATTCCTCACTTTCGGTTTCTCATAATGGATGGTGCCCTTCAAGTTTAACTTCTTTAGAAGTAGTTTTTTGCAATTTGTGTCTATTTTTTGTTACTTTAGTTAGAGTTATTGGTAGTTTTAAAAATTTTATAAAATTGGAGGTAAAAATTGCATAATAAGTCATCTTGCCCCGGTCACGTGACCAGATGACAAATTTATGAACTTTTTATTTAAATATTTATTTCAAATTATTATATTTGCAAACTGAAAATTCATGCAGGCAATTAAAGAATTTAATAACATTAAAATACTGAGAAAGTATTATGGCTTCACGGCTTATAGTTTTGCAACAACTCAGGGCTTTCAAAACGTTCGCAATTTTGCTCTTTCATTGACAAGATGTTATGAAAGAGCTGATTTCTCTCTTTTTTTAAAATAGGTGTATGATAGATTATTAGCATTGTTATCCAATTTATTTTAATTTTATAATATTACCCAATAACGTAACTATTTAATTAAAGAATTTTTTTTTTTAATTAATCAAAATTGACTTTTTTTAATACTTTTTTAAAACTGGCTCTTTCATACACACTCTTCCCTAATGGCGAATTTTTTGGGAACTATTTTAATACTATCTAATTTTAAACATAACTGTTAGTTATATTTCACTGTCAAAAATTTAAAAAAATGTTGATCTGTGAAGGTTGTTCTTCGAAGTTTTTTAAAAAAGAAGTTAGAAAGTTTTTCAACTCGTTTTCTTAACAGTTTATTTTATTTACACTTTTTGACAAGTACATACACTTTTAATTTACTTTTTTTGTGTTCTAGCACTTTTTTTGTGTTCTGCACAATAGCACAGATTATTTAGCTTGTTAAATAACAATACTTGATACTTGTTTTTATATTAATTTTTTTTTTATATTTACATCATCATCATACATCAGGACTTGACAAATTAAAAAAACACTTTTTATTATTTTTAGATATTTTTCTTGATGCCATTATGGTACTCCGTTTAAAAAGAATACAGTATCTACAATGTCATCAATCAAGTAACTGGAAAACAATCAGCGCAAAAACTTGTGTCAATGCAATGGGTAACTCTTTTCCACTACATTTCATATTTGTAGGAAAACTACTAAGTCTCTCTCAAGTATTTAATTTGAAAATGCCTTAGATGAAAGTACATGAAGTGTTTTAGACAGTGGTTGGACAAAACAAGGAATTACATTTCTATGGTTCAATGGTTTCTATCGAAAATTTGGATTTTTATAAATGTATATGAACTTGTTTACTCTTACTATATAAAAAAGCTCCTTTTTTAACTAAAGTTTATTTTTTTGTTTTTTACAGAAGTTTCATTAACTTTGACCCAATCGTCCCAAATAGGGTAAGTGAGCACTGGGATTCTTACATATATTTTGGGTTTTTATAAATATGCATAAACTTGTTCACTCTGAAAATATGAAAAAGCACTTGTTCTTTAACTAAATTTATTTTTTAATATTCTACAGAGCCTTAATCGTTTCGGGCCCCATTGCCTCGATTCGGGGAATCAGACTTAAAATTTTTACTGAGTTTATATGAAAATTTTGAATGAATTTGTTCACTTTGACAGTTTGAAAAATCTCTTTTTCTTCAGCAAAAGTTAATTTTACGGTTTTAACTAAGCTTTTTGTACTCTTGGCCTAATTTGCCCCAAAATGGGAAAAAGGGCCCTGCTTATTTTTATATATTTACCTAATATTAATAAATAAAAATGGAAAGTTTGAAAAAAAAATTTTTAATTAAAATTAATTTTTATTGTTTTTACAGAGCTTTGATTTTTCTCAGCCCAATTATCTTAAATGGGGAAATAAGCCCTAAAATTTTGACGTATTTTCTTGATACTTATAAATGTAAAAATTTGTTTACTTTAAAAGTTTAAAATTTAGTTTTACTGTTTTAACAAAGCTTTTATAACTTTTGATCCGATTGCCCTAAATGGGGCAATCGAGCAGTCAGATCCTTACCAAGGGGCCCTGGATATGAGAATAATAATTTGTAGAGTTGAAAGCTTTGATTCTTTAGTAAAAAAAGAAAAGAATAAGAATAGTTCAGCATAAGAACTTTAATGAAACTCTTTCTCATTGATGGCACTTGAAAAATAAATTTACTATCAAAATTTGGTCCTAAATGAAAACTCAACAAATCTTGACGCAAAATAGGTGTTATTAAGCCAAACATAAATTGTCATAACTTGGGAACCAGTTATCCAAACTTAAAAAAACGAACTCATTCTGAAAACGTCTTTATTATTCGCGTACTTTGGTATCGACTATAACCAGATATAAAGGTAATAGTAAAATCGTGTGAGGTGCCTAAAATTATATATTTTATATTAAATTTAACTATATATAAATTGTATATTAAATTAAATATAAATTCACTCTAAGTTAGAATTAACAAACATGTTCCACGTAAAAAAAAGTTGACACCTAAAATAAAGTAAACAGTTGCGCACCTATTAGAGTTTTTAAAATATAAGTTTGACTAGAAATTAATTTTTTAATTTCAAAATGTTAACTTCAAGCAAACTTCTAGTTATTTACTTCATGTTATTTTTTAAAATATTAACTTCAAAACAAACTTCAAGAGTTAAGCAGTGCTTTAAACAACGCGAAATCTGTAAATATTCTAAATCGTGGTGGACAACGGATCTTATAAAATGCAACGAAAATCTTTCATTTAACTATAAACAATGGCAAAAATCTAATTATAACAAAACACAAGAATGCATTGAATACAAAAGATGAACATTTAACATTATTATCCATAGATAAAAGATAATCCTTGCACGTAAAAACTTTTGTAAATCGGTTAAAGCAGTTCATAACAAAATGATCCACGAAAAAACAATATTGAAAATCTTCAAACTACAAACCCTCAGAAGTTGTGAGATAACATTTGTAAATTCAAAACTAAAGAAAAGTTCCAGTATTGGAATTTGAAAGAAAAGAGATAGTCGTTTAAAATTTTAATAGAGAGAAATGTTTTAAGAAGTCTTATCGAATAATTTGCGGAAAACACACCGCTTGGTAATCAACATTTAATGCTAACAACTGTGAGAGCCGTGTCGTTTTAGCTGATTTTAATTTAAGAGGTGACTATTTTATTATAATTCATTTTAACTGTAATTTATTGCCGGGTGTTAAAGAGAAAATATACATACAAAATATTTGATTTATATGTCCGTATAAAATTTTGTATAAATATTATTGCTAACTTTTAGCACGTTTTGTAGCATTTTTTTGGTATTTGATCTACACAAATATGCCGAAGATACTTCTACTGGTCATTTTAGCAAAGAAGATCAGATCAGATACCATCAAGAAGTTCAGATCAGGCTTTGACTTTATAAAACATTTTTAAATTTTATGTGAAACTATTAACTACATTTATAAAAAAGAAATCAAAAACTTTCTTTTTCTTTTTTTTTTTACTTTTATGTCTAAAATTTGTTAAGACGTAAACGTATTTTTTTATTATGTGGTATCATACATTCACAGTTTTATGTTAACCATTTTTATTTGTTTTATTAATATTACTGTTAACTACTTTTATAGTAACTTCAATTTCATCAAAGTCATTAAGAATTTTTAATTAATAAATTTGAAGAACAGCTGTGTTAAAAAAGCGTATATAGTTTTGATCAACACGAAACGTATAAACTTAAAACGGTTGCTTTCACGAGCATTAATGATGCCGGCTACAACTACTAACAACAGTACTACTACTGATAAATTAAAGTATCATTGAAACCAGAGACGTATTTACGAGAAGAGGGGGGAGGGGTCAAGAGGGGCTTTGGTTCTAGACGTCAACTCTTGATAGGGCGCCGTCAGTGTTGTAGAATCTTAATAGTCGTTAAATAGTTATTTTATATCACACAAATTTTTATATTATTATCATGTCCAAACCATATATCGACTCCTACTAAATATCTCCAAGTCCTTTTGCGGCAAAATTCCTAATTACTTGCTTTTCTGTCTCAAGTATACGGGCGAATATTTTTTATAAACGAGAACATCACCATTAAAATCATTTAAAAAGGCGATCAAAGTCTATTTGCAAATTATACATAACTATGCGCGAATTATTTAGGGGTCGTCCATAAATTACGTCACGCTATAAGGGGGAGGGGGGTTGGTAGTTTTGTGACGACTCATACAAAACTTGCTTCTTAAGTGTTACAATTTTGTGACGAAGGGGAGGGGGGAGTTTAAAATCTGTCAAAAAATGCGTGACGTAATTTATGGACGATCCCTTTTGCGAAAACGTTGATTTGGTATAAAATAGTTTATGCGAAACTATTTATGCGAAAATGTTGATTTGGTAAGAAAAATCACGTTGGTCAGTTTAATCCTTTTTTAGATGATACTATATTTTTTAGAGAATCGAACATATCTTTATATATATGTGAGCATAATTCATAGGTATAACGTTAGTTTTATACTACAAAGGGTTGTATAGAATTATCTGCCATTATAATACAAAAAAACTAAATATCTTCCCATCAGTATTAATTCTACTTCTGATATTAGCCATGTAGATTAACTGTATTCATTTTTCGGTATGTTCAAAAGAATGGCTGTCAGGTAGAAAATTTTTTTAGGGTTTTTACCTAACTCTGATCATAAATCTGTAGAATGATGCTATATTTTTAGTTTTAGAATTGCATGGGTTAGATATAAACAATGGCCGTCGTTACGACAATGCATCTGACATTTCAGGTAGGTATTCAGGCCTTCAAGGTCCTATTAAAAAAGTTATTCTTTTAGCTACATTCGTACCATGCTAGGAACACTCTTTAAATATTGTTTGAGTTGCGTTGAGGACAAATTTTTTAGTTTGCTTCATAACATTTACAAATATTTCAATGCTTTTACATATAGATGGAAAATACTTCAGAACAATTTAATTAAAACAGAAAACGTATCACTTAAAAAACTAACTAGTTTAAACAAAAATTGGAATGAAATAATTAATGTATTGTCTAAAAATGATAAATCAGACAAGTCAATAACAAGATTAGAAGCTAATAAACTATTTATAAACGGTTACAATAATCACATTATGGGGTAATATTCAAAAAAATTCAACAAAACTAGTAAGCAATTGCAGTTAGTTAAGATTGATTTAGAATCAGTTGTAAGTTTATACAAAGCCTTAATTCAATATTTTCGGCATTTTTCGACTGCCAACCTAAGAGATTCAATTTCGCCAACTCCAGTTCCAATTTGCCGACTGATAAAATTCATTGGGGGGCTAGACACCCTATGCCGCCCCCTCCCCTTGGGACGACCCTGCTCACCATCACTATCAGAAGTTTACAAAAAAGCAGAAGTATTTCAATATATATATATATATATATAAATAATATTTTAGCATTTCCTAACGAGTGTAAACAATTTAGAAGTTGTAATATATATGTTTGTTTTGAAAATGTTTTTGTTTTTTTAATAATCACTTCATATCAAAGTATACAGTTAATTGTAGAAGAGGGCGCTGAAAGGATTAGTGCCACAGGGCGTCAAAATTATAAATACGTCTCTGATTGAAACATAAAGTTAAATAAACGGGCGTTTGTTTCAAAAATTACCCATAAAACAGCTGTTTTTTATGACAATCTTCTTGATTTGGTTCAATTTAGTTTTGAAAAGCAGTTGTGCTAAAAAATGATATAAACTATTAATGAATGTTATAAAATTAGTTTGAAAAAACTGAACAACAATAAAAAAGTATACAAAATCTAAATATTACATAAAATAAACTCACATAAAATAAATTAAACTTCATTTTAAATCTTCACAAACAATTATAGATAATATAATTTTTTATAGGTATAAAAAAAATTCTAACTGAACTTAACATACTTTTTCAACATTTGAGTTTATTTGTAGTAAACATTTTCAACTTTAATAAAGGGAATTACATGAAGTATTTAATATCTGAAAGCAAAAACTTGTTTATTTAGATGTTTTTATTTGTTGAAAATACAATGTATGTTTGATTTTTCATTAAACAATGATGAACATTTTTACCATTAAAGGTGAAAAACTCATGATACGAAATATGACACTTCAATTAAAAGTTATGCAAATCGCATTGTTAACATTCACGTGTAAATGATTTATTATATCAAGGTTTAGAGTTTGTTATTGACTTTATGTCATTATAGAATATAGTAAAAATCTTTAGGTAGGCTATAGGTGCTCATATATATATTAGGTTAAATCAAAGAGATATAACAGCTGGAGGGAGAACGAAGTTAAAATATGTCATTTCTTAAAACATAAGTTGTAAAATATTTTTTTATCAAACACCACGTAATTTTCAAAATTTAAAGTTAACCCATCACATTCCACTTTTAACAAAAATTATCTTATAACATTGTTTCAAAACGTCATAAGCAATGAAGCATTGCAAATAAAACATGGAAGTTTAAAAAGTTTATAAATAAAACATGGAAGTTTATAAATAAAACATGGAAGTTTAAAAATTCGTAAACAATATTAAGTGTTAGTTTATTGTTATTTTTTTATGTTTTTGAACGACTAATAATAAATTTTTAGATTATCTCTATTTTTAGAAAAAAGCTATTTGGTTTTAAATCCACTAAAAATACTACAACACAAATTAAAAGCCTAGAGGCTTTTAATTTGTGTTAAAATATTTTATCGGCTTTGTCGATAAAAGGAATTATCGACAAAGTTTTTAAACTTGCTAACTATCAACTACTTTATGCCTCATTTATCCATCCGTATAGTTTACATTTCTAAAAACACGTATAGTTTACATTTCCAAAACTATATATGGAATATTTTCTTAAATATTAAGTCAAATGACTTTACTGCAGGAAACATTACTACTGCCATATCTAATCACCTTCCTCAACTTCTTATTATTCACAATATTTTAAAAACTTTGACTACCAAAAAAAAAGTAATGGAAAGAAACTGGAAAGCATTTAATGAAGTATTAATTGTAAATGATCTCAACAAAACTTATAAAGATATCTCTAACAAATCTGATGATTGCAATTACATGCTTACTAAAACTATTAAAGTTGTTAATGATATTCTAGATATTCTTGCACCTCATAGAAAACGTAATAAAATGGATATTAAATTTATGGCCAAACCATGGATTTCTGATGACTTAAAACTGTCAACTAAATACAAAAATGAAGTGTTTAAAAAACATATACAACCTAAGAATGAAGGACAGTGTACAACCTAAGAATCTTGTAAATAAAACTATTTACTACAATGAGTACAAAAAGTACAGAAACACTTTGAAGTTACTACTTAAGGAAACACTTTGAATTAAAGAAACAACTTGACTTTAGTACTCAAAGAAAGCAAAAAATTATATTATACTAACTATTTTACTAAGAATATCAAAAATGTTAAATCAATTTGGAAGGGTAGCTCCAATATTACTATTCTCAATCCAAAAAAACATACTACACCAACTATTTTAAAACAACAAATAAATAACTAATGCAAAGGATATTGGCAATTATTTCAACTATTATTTCACAACTGTTGGTAGAGACACCCAATCGAAAAATCCTATATCCCTACATCACTTCTTTCATTACACTAAGCAACAAAAAAAAATCTTTTTTTAGATTCAATTAACAGCACAAGACAACAAAACATGATTTTAAAACAAAAACACAAGACAACAAAACAAGGTTTTTCTAAAACAGATTTTTGAGCAGATTAAGAAAATGAAATCCATTTTGATCCTACACGTCCAAATTCTTTTTAAACTTAAAATTTTGTTTTTTATTTTAAATCAGTTTTAAGCTATAGTTTTCGCACACTTTAAGTTTCAAACGTTCCTTTTTTAAATTGCGTAATTGTAAGTTTATATTTATATTCAATTTACAGTAAAAAAAGGCAGAATTTAGATCCTATATGTATTTTGTTACAGGATGTTTTTAATCAGCAGACAATCTTGTAGAAATAGTTCAAACAGTTTCTGTTACACTTGTGGTCATTAAGTCACTAAAAGACAGAAGAAAAAAATGAATTCAAAACTTCTTATTGCTTACCTTCGATTTTGGATTCAAGGTGGGAAATCATGGCAAAAAATGGGTGCCCCATTATAGCTGCATTTAATAGTAGCATAAAACATGACATGAATGTTATTATATTATATAATTATTTTAATATTATAAAATGCATCTGAGTCAGCCTAATAGATGAAGAAGGGGTGCGAGGCTGGTCAACAGATAGAATCTGTTTACCCGTTAAGTCTTTACCTAGGAGGTCTTCTACAAAATAGCAGCCGGATGCATTTAACATCTGCCCAAGATGAGTATTTTTATCAAGACACCATCTCTAGCCTTTTTTCAATCAAAAGCCTTTACTCAACCATTTCTAGCCTTTACTCAACCATCTCTACTCTTTACTCAACCAAGTCGTCAGTAGATTGTGTTTGGAGAACTAAATCGTTATTATTATGCATTTTAATTAGATATTTTGCATGTAAATTAAATAAAAACTTCCTTTATGGATGTAAATCTTTTTTTTTTTTTTTTTTTTTAATTTTTATACAATACTTCAATATAGTATAGATGCCCTCGTTATCAAGTATAACAAATATATATAAAAAACCGTTAAAAACAAAGCAAAAACAAAATCAAATCAATAGTTTTTATACTCCCTTAAAATATTGTGTAAAAATTAATTTAAAAAAAGTAATAATAAATAGAGTTATCTATATTATAATCTATAACATATTTCAACAACAAAAAAATTTTTTTCAGGTGCTGAGCAAACAATCTATTTTGTTGTATAGCATTTCTTATTTTAATTTCAAATATGCCACTCATTATTCATCATCACGTCAAGTTATAAAGATATTTGGGTTCAAATATTTAGTATTTGGGGTAAAATCCTTAATATTGTCAAAAAAAAAAAAAAATTATTTAAAAATATGTCAACCTGGGTCTCAAAAGAAGCGTATTTTCATAGAGATTTTAAAAATAGTATTCGTTTGTAATAAAAATAAAAACTTTTCTACTGTTATTTAATTTTTTTTTAAAAAGTAGTAAAATGATGTACCCAAAAATATAAAAAAATATACTTAAAATAAAAATTGAACTTTCATTGAGGAACAAACCCCAGACAACACAACATGGAACATTTCCTGAAAATTTCAAAACAAAATCTTTATTAGAAGTTAAAAAAAACGTGTTTATTTTTTAAATACTTTATTTAAAAAATAAAAAAACGTGTTTATTTTTTAAATACTTTAAAAAAAAAAATTATTTTTTATTTTTAATTAAAATTTTTTATTTTTATAATTAAAATTTTTTATTTTTATAATTAAAATTTTTATAATTAAAATTTTTTATTTTAAATTTAATATTTATTTTTTAAATACTTTAAAAAAAAAAACGTGTTTATTTTTTAAATACTTTATTTAAAAAATAAAACGCGAGAAAAATGTTTATAAAGATTGCGTAATAAAAAAAGTCTAAAATTGTAATAATTCTAAAAGTCACCAGCAAAATATGATGCCCCGTCTTCATATTTTTTTTTGTCAACAAACCTTTTTATCATAAATTTTCCTAACTTTAGTTAGTATAAGGTATCAGAAGAAGAAATTATTTAGTTGATACCTGCTGTAAAATTAATTTTTGTCTTATATTCATTATCAAGAAAAACTTTTTAACTCTTGAAAAACTTGCAATTGGTAATGAGGCTGTTATGTTTTTTTTCTTACTTTGGATGTTTAATTAGTGTTTTTGAATTATTATTTATGTAATTTAATTGTGCAACAAGTTACTTTTTATTTACACAAACAAATTTCTAATGAAAATAGTTTTTGAGCAAATTAGCTCATATATAACTAAAATATATAACCAAAAGATGTGGTATTATTAGTAAACTTTATATTATGAAACTTATCTTAAATTTTTTTGAGCACTGGTAAAATATAAAGCGAACGAGATATTTTTAGAGCTAAGTTTGCTCCAAAAACTTGATTACAAAGCTAAAAAACCAATAAACAAATTCGTAGCTATAATGGTTGCTAGGGAAGTTTGAAAAACTATACTGCACTAAATAATAATTATTTAAAAAACTAAATTAGTTTTCAACAAGCCGTTTTTACAAAACTAACATATATATATATATATATATATATATATATATATATATATATATATATATATATATATATATATATATATATATATATATATATATATATATATATATATATATATATATATATATATATATATATATATATATATATTTCTTTATAAATATATTTATAAATTTATGTTTTGCATGTGTTTTACAGCGATAATCAGTTTGTTTACTCGAAATTTTTCTGTTCTATATATTCTCGTGTATATATTTTGCATAACAGAAGATGATTTTCGAAAACTGTGAATTGTAATCGGAAAAATTTCCCCCTCCCTTCTTTTATTTACCAACCCTACTTTACGCTACCCTACTTTATGAGATCTAGAATAAAATCCCCCCTCCCATTTTATTCCGATAACTTTGTATTAAGTGAGTCTTACTAGTCGTATAGTCATAACCCTAACCCTAACCCTAACCCTGACGAATAATAACTCGTAAGTAAAATAGTCGTCCCCAATCGACAACTTAAACGATAACCGTTTTTTATGTTTTTAACATTCAAACAAACAGGTCGATACTTTTTTCCATTCAGCAAATCCAGGTTTCGCGTTTTTCATAAAATCAAGACCCAAATTATTTAAATTATTGTAACCGTTTATACTCATTTTCTTATAATAATTTGTGATAGATAAATAATTATTTTGTATATTACATCAAATAATTATTTTTAATACATTATAGCAAAATTTGTTTTAACTTATCTCTATTAAAAACTTACCACTATTTAAGCACTTCGGGTCAGGATTTTATTAAAAACGCGAAACCTAGATTTGTACATAGGAAAAAAGTTTAGACCAAACATATATCATTTAGATTAAAAACGGCGACAAAAGGGAATTTCCGACTAAACGGAATTTCCGTTATGGAAATTCCGTTTAGTCGGAAAAGCAATTTCAGCTAAACATTAGGAAAAGATAAATAAGCTGTTAAAAAATATATTTACTAATGTTACTGTTTCTTGTGGTGAAAAAATTACATTATATAATATATCATATTCTTTTTTAATACTATATTATATAATATATGATATAGTATTAAAAGATTAATCTTAATTTTTTTTAAAAAAACCGAACTAAGAAAAATTATTTTTTTTTAGATTTTACGTTTCTCCAGGTTTTTGTATAAATATCAAGTTATATTGAATAAATCTCGAGGTTAAAAAAAAAGAATTGATTTATTGACTGATATTTGTTAGAACAACAAAGTATAAATACATGTTCTAAAGGACACGAAGGCCCATACAAAGATGGACACTAACAACGTGCCCAAAGAAATTTTATTTTATTTTTGAACGTTAAAATGTTATTTGCATTTACAGCCTCCGAGTTCATATTGTTCAAGAAGGTTGAAAGGTCTGTAAATTCTATAAAATAATATTATTGATACAATTAATAATGAAAAAGATAATAAATTTACAGTAATTTTCAAACAACATATGACCTAAACCTACCGTCAAAAAAAATCCTGGAAAAGCTAATAAATTGCTATTGAAGCCATGGAATACTAATGAAATCATTAGATCAATAAAAATTTAAAAGAAAAAATAAATAAGCAAATGATGATGTAGAGCAAATTACTCAGCTTTAAATTCTATTAAATAGTTATATATTTTGTACTTGAATTTTTATATATTTAGCAATCAGGATTCTGAAAGAAAATTTCGATTTAATTGTGTGTTAAGTACCCAAAAATGTATCATTTTGCTAATGCGACTAACCTGCTGATAGTAAATAAATCTATAAGAAAAGGTAAAAAAATACATAAATCATGACCTAACATCCTTGGTTCAATGGTTGCCATCAATAAAATATCCTCTGCCAAAATGCAAAAAAAATAAATAAATAAAGTAGTTAAAGTAGTTACTAATTTTAGAAAAAGGCAATTTAGTAAATTAGTATTCTTTAAACCTCAAGGTAAAACCTAAAAAATTGTTAAAAAAGCCTAATTTTAGAATCAGTGGGCAAATATTAAATATTGTTAATATAAAGAAGTATGTATTCATTTGTCGCGTGAAAATCTTTAGTTAATTTAACACAAAAATTCATATCAATCAAAATATAGTCAAGCAATTGGAATGCTCACCTAAATATACCATTTTGTCAATTATGAGGCCATTGTAAATATTTGGCATGATATTTTTAATTCCCATATCAGTATGGTTTGTCAGTATGGTGGCAATAAAGTTCATTCATTCATAAGAAAAAGCTATCCATTAAATAAATCTTCAAAATAAGTCATTATGAATTATTTATTTTTTATCTAACAGTTTTAATTCCTACATACTATATATAATATGTATTTAAAATTTTTTAGCTTGATCAACTTATCTACCTTTCATATTGGTATTGATCATTAACTGCAATAACACAACCATCTGCTTCAATAGTGGTTTTAAATTCACAAATAGTATGTAGAGCCATAATCTTAGATCTGTATCTAATTGTAGACTTTCTTTGCTTTAAAAAGAAATACTTAAGTCATTCAAGTATCAGTCAATTCACTTTTAAAATTCTCTTTCAGCTAAAATTAAAAAGATATACTCCAAAATGACAAAAAGAAATGCTTTTATAGCCCATGTTTAAAAATTTATTCTCAATAAAAAAATAACAAGCACCATTTACAATGCAATTGTTTTCATTTAGTTATTTTCTTTGGGTAATATTTTTATACAAATATCTAATTTTCTTATATAATTTAATTATAGATAAAAACTCAAAACTTCCTCAATACTATTCAACTCTTCTTTTTTAAGTTATTATTATTTTTTCTACTGTTTCTTTTCTCTTTTTTTCTTTTATTGCTTTATTTTTGTTTTTGTTGTCATCATTAATATATCTGTTATTATTACTATTTTTAATTATTATTTCTATTAATGATCTTACCTAATTATGATATCCTTATTTAAAAAGTATTAAACTAGTAGAAAATCACTTAACAAAAATTTTTTTCATTTAACACTGGGTTTCATCAATAAGGATTCATCAGAAATGTTGCATTTTTGAAGAGTTAAAAAATGCACATTTGACTGCAAGCCTACTAGATTTAAATAGTTTTGCATGTTTTGCAATAAATATTAGTTTGCATTTATAAACTGACCCCCCCCCCCCCCTCTTTATTAGAAATGGACTAAGAGATTCTTCTCCTCTTTAATTTCCCCCTCCCCCACGTGTCATACTAAAATAGCCTGCTGCTGGGGGCTTCAGTACATACATCGACTGACAAATAGCCTGACTCGCACGGTATAGCTTTAGGTAACGGTATAGCTTTAGGTAAGCAGAAAAAGTGAGCAAATACTTATCAAAACAATATTTATATATATATATATATATATATATATATATATATATATATATATATATATATATATATATATATATATATATATATATGTATATATATATATGTATATATATATATATATATATATATTTAAACAATTTAAAATGTATTCTACAAAAAGAGTGCTCAATGTTCTTAAAAGAACAGAACAATTACAAATTAGTAGAAAATCACTTAGCAAAATTATTTCTCCTTTAACACTGTGTTTCATCAATAAAGAAATTTCTGATAAGTCTTTATTGATGAAATACAGTGTTAAATGAGAAAAAATTTTGCTAAGTGATTTTCTACTAATTTATATATATATATATATATATATATATATATATATATATATATATATATATATATATATATATATATATATATATATATATATATGTATATGTATATGTATATATATATATATATATATATATATATATATATATATATATATATATATATATATATATATATATATATATATATATATATAAGCAATAGTCATATCTCTGTTGGTTTGCTTAACAGAACATTATAACCGAATGATGGGTTGTTGTAGATGGCAGTATATGTACTTTTTATTAACTTTTTATTTAATTTTATCTATAGACATAGTGCTTTTTATATGTATATGATGTTTGAAGTAATAATAATAATAATAAATAATAGTGCTTCAGCTTGTTTAAACATCGTATAGAAGGTGTATAAATTATTTATTAATTAAAAAGGTATTATATGTGTATAAATCAAAAGAAATATGAATCTTGATCATTTTATTATTTATTAATTAAAATTATTAATTAATTATGCATTAAAACCCATTTCATGCTTTGTTAAAAAATTTATACATTTTTTTTGTTGTTGTTTTGTTTTTTTTAATTTTATTTCAAAAGAATAATACTTATCATTAAAATACATAACTTAATAAATAAAAAAAAAACGATTTATCAATTAATTAGAAGAATAAAATGTTTTTACTTTATTTAAAAATAAAAAACATTCTGTCAAAAGAATGTGTTTTTTTTGTTTTTTTTGTTTGTTTTTTTGAGAAAAATAAGTTATGGTAAAAGATAAAACAATTTGTTTTTCAGCATTTTTTTAGTTTAGTTTTTTTACTAGAACTAATAATTCTATTTTTTATTTAAATAAAGCATCTTCTTGTTTTAAGCTTTTTTGTGCATTGTCTGTGTCTAACCATGTTTTTCCAGCTCTTCTTTTTTTCTCTTGAAACTGTTAGTTCTTATTTTAATTATCTGTATCTTAATGCACTACATGGATACTTACCATTTATACTTAAAGCACCCAATCATATACAAATTAGAAATTACATCATATAATACCTGATCATATACATCGTATACATATATTATATTTATAATACCCGATCATACACAGAAATTTTCTAATTTATGTCTAAGATATAGATTTGTTTCATATCCTGCAGAGTTACACCAAAAATTTATCTGGTCAGGATTTTTTATTAATTATCTGGTCAGGATTTTCTCTGTTTTTTTCAGATGCTCCAGACATTTTTCAGACATCAACCTTCACTGCTCAAATTCATTTTTTTTTTTTCAACAACTAATAGTTCATATAATTTTATAAAGTTTAAATAATTTGTTTAGAATGAATTTCAATGTTTTCTCAAATAAAACGTGCTAAAATTAGTTCAACTGCTAATATGAAGACTTTAGAAAGTTCCTCTGATAAGCAGTGTGGTTTTGTAACTGATGCACAAGCTAGTGTTTGTGTTACATTGCATCCACTTGTTATTATGAATATCTCTGATCATTTTACAAGAATTAAAGCCCAGGAAGGAGGAAATCCGCAAAGTAAGTAACAGTTTAAATAATGGTCAAGGGTTAATATAATAATTTTATATAATATAGTTTATGAAAAAAAAAATATCCTTTTTAATATGTTTGCTGAGGCATAATATAAGAGTCTAATTTAATTGTTTATGATCAAGCAAAAGCAGTAAAATAATTCAATATTATACTTTTATATTTGAAATGGACGTCAAACCTAATTATAGATTTACAAATACCTAAACTCTAGTTGATGTATATTCTAAACCCCTATGCGAATATTTGTATTTTAGTGCAAGATTTTATTGGATTTGCACAATATAATCTTTCACCTTACAATCTTTGTATAAAGTTAGCGAAAATATTTTTAATAAAAAATACAAAATTTTATAAAGTAAATATAAAAAATAAAAAGTAAATATAAAAAATAAAGTAAACTTTAGATAAATTAATCAAGAAATGTCTTTTTTTCCTATTTTTTAGACTTCTTTGCTTTTTAAAAAGACTTATAAAATGTGACTGCAATTGCGATTTTTTCCTGTATACTCTTCATATACAGTGGGTTGCCAAATTATTAGGGACACTTTACTTTTTAAGTAATTTTAGAGTTTAAATATTTTTTGTGAGCAAATAAATTGTTTTTAAATATTTTTTTGTGTATTTTAGTTACTAATATAACTATAATTGTTTTTAAACTGTGGCAATTGCGTTAATCCACCCTATCTGTCAAAAAGTTAGGTTATTACTCAATTAGCTGTCAATTGTTGATAGGTGTGGTTGGAGTAAGTTCAAAATTGATTTCAATTATTTATCTTTGAAACAATTTTTTATAAGTTTTTCGAGTTCAGAACTATTTAAACCTAAGTATTGGTTAATAGTTTTAACAATTAGTTAAAGTTAATAATTTTGCTAATTTTAATGTATAAGTCCTGACTTGTAACCATTCTCACTTCTCATTGATTGTAACCACTCTCACTTAAGTGAGAAAAATCAATGAGAAGTACTTCTCATTGATTTTTTTTAGTATAGGCAAGTCTCCAGACTTAACCCCAAGAAAAAGTAGGAAAGTAAAAACCTTAGTTCTTCATTCTACACATTTTTAGTTAGAAATAGTAACAATTGTTTCAAAGTGTTTCAAAGTCAAAAGTGAGTCAAATTAAAAGAAAAATTGATACAAATGTGCCTCTAGAACCAGACCATGTCGGCAAAAGTGGCAGAAAAAGGATCACTACTCCAACTTGTAAAATTGTCTTAAAATCAGATGAAAAAGTGTGGCTCAACTACAATGATAAACAATGAAGGAATTAATGTCTCCAAAAGGGCGGTTCAGAGAAAGTTGGTTGAAGAGAATTTAATGGGTCATCATCCAACCAAAAAACCACGTTTAATTGAAGCCATGAAAAATAAACGACTGTAATGGGCTAGAAAACACCAGCATGACTATTGAAGACTGGAGTAGAGTAAATATAATTTATAATATTTTAAGAAACCAGAAAAATTTAATAATAATTTAAATAATTTTTAAATAATTAATAATTAAAAATATCTTTAAATTGTTTTACAGGTTCTTCTTCTTGGACGAATCAACATTTCAATTTTTGATGGACATAAAAGCTAAATTATTACCCCTAAGTTTTTCTGCTTTTTCACAATATTATGTTGACACCATTTATTATATATACACCATTACACTCACAGGATTTTTAACATTTTTCAAAATGGGTATGGGTATGGGGTGCCTTTACATTGTGGAAGGGACCATGAGGTAGGACCAGTACAAGGGAGTACTGGTCCTACAATGCCTGAAAGCCGTTATTGTAGCTAAGGATGGTATTACAAAATATTAAGATTATTACTGTTATGTTAAACTGTTATGTTAAAGCATTTTATAAAAAAATAAATAAAAAAATAAAATAAATTTTTATAAAAAAATAAATGAATAAGTGATTATGTTGTTTTATATTCTAAATAAAGCTCTCTAACAATAAAAACAAAATAAAACAAAAAAACTACAAGATATGTATTTATCCATTAAAGTAGTTTACTTTAAAATTATTGTGTTAATTTGGCAACCCACTGCATGTTTATTATAGCTTAAAAGTTAAAGTATATAACTATAAATTAGCTTATAATTATAAACCCTAATTATATAAATTTATAATTACTTATAATTATAAATTATTATTTGTTGCTATATACCTAAGTTATTATAAGCAAGTTATAAAGTATATAGTTATAGTTACAAGGTTATACTGTATATGCATGTTTTGAAAAATATTTAAAATAAAGTAAACTTTATAAAGTACTAACTTTTTTTTCATTTCTATTTTTTTTCTAATAAGGCAGCAAACAACCTTTGCTGCCTTATTAGAAAAAAATTAGTAATGAAAGTTAAGAATTGTTAGAAAACAAAGTATATATTTAAAAAGCTATTTTAATTTAGGAAACAATTGATAGAAGACTTTAAAAGTTGTAGATTGTATGAGTCAGAAAGACATGAAGATGGGAGAGAGTTCCAAAGTTAAGTGCGGGAAAAAAAAGCTAGATGAATAAAACTTTTTAAATTTTTAAATTGATAATTTTAAGACTGGGGCAAGCACTAATTTTTTTTTTTTTCATGTTTATGTGGCTTTCAGTTAAGTTTTTTTAAAATTCTAGTGATCTGGAAACTAATGATAAAATGTGAAAAAAATAAACCAGCATTAAACTCTCATTGACTCTGCATACTTATTATCAAAATTATTTCCAAAGGCCATGTTGGAAATTGTAATAACCTCATAAAAAGGAAAACCTCTAGATAATTTTTATACAAAATAATATAATAATCTAAAGATAAACGCATAACAAGGTAAGTGAAAAAAGATAAAAATTTTATCTTGTTTCACTTACCTTGATGAGTTTACAGCCTGATATGTTCCAAATAGTGACTTGTGCTCGAGCTGCAAACAAAAATAAACAACCGTTCCAAACAAAATATAAATTTATATATATATATATATATATATATATATATATATATATATATATATATATATATATATATATATATATTTATACACACACACACACACACACACACACGCACACACACACAAGTAATTTCATTATTATAGATAAGAAACAACACAGAATTATTTCCAAAAACATCTTGACTACTTTTTTATCTATAAAACAGATAATAAGATTATACCCCCTATGAGAGATGGAATATTAGAATTATCTTTATTAATGACTTATGGAGATGTAACCTGATAATAATGGACCTATTATTATTAGAAAATACCTATTATTATTAGAAAATACCTTTTTCCAACATCTTTTTGTAATTACAAAACAACATTAATTTTTAAGAGAATTGTGTGAAAAAAAGAAAAAGAAATGATTATTATTAAAAATGGAAAAGAAGAAAGATGTTGCTTATGTTATGGCATACATAAACAACATCTTTAATATTTTAAACTGAAAACAGAGACATCTGCTGAGTATTTTGTGCCACAAATTATTCTCAAACAAACCTTGAAGATATACATAACTGTTTATGTCATTTAGTCACTTTTATGTCACTTGTATACTTCTTAAATCTTAAAGACATATTTTAAAAACTATTAAATCTTACAGACTATTTTAAACAAGAGGTTTTAACAAGAGGAAAGTACTATAACACTATAACATACTATAACAGTGTAACAGCCATCTGCTGGGCTTCATAACATACATTTACTTAAGTTTGAACAGGATGCATCTACGTGATTTGCTTTATAAAAGGTCTTCCATAAAGTATGTATGTGGGAAGGGTTTATTCAAAAATGTACAAATGTGTACACTGGGAAAGGGGTGTTAAAGACAGCAAGTCTTTAACACCCCCTGCAGCTTGACTATCTCGCCTAAACATTAGTTTGTATATGTCTTGAATAAATCAGAATTTTTTATTTAAAGTTTGTTTAAAACTACCAATCAAATCAAATATTTATTTAAACGATCTTGTTTTTAAATGTGATCAATTAAAAAAAAAATTATTGAAATATTATTGTGAATTTTATCAAAATATCTTTTTTTTCATCATATTTATTAAATATTAACCATGTTTTGAATTTTTTTAAAATAATATGTTTAGTTTATGGTGCTCTTCTTGGAAAGCAAAATGGTAGAAATTTGGAGCTGTTTAACTCTTTTGAACTGCAACATTCAATTAACGAAACTGGAAAAGTAGTTATTGAATTAGCTTACTTTCATAGTAAAGAAGAACAATGTAAGTATAAATAATAAAATTTGTTGCTTAAAACAATATTTTTATAAAACGTTTTCTAAAAACCTTTATATGTGCACATGTAAAATAACACTAAAGTAGTTAGCTTTTTAAAATCTGTTCCTCAGAGGTCACATGACCAAAGAAAAGTAGAGATGCTACAAAAAGTTTTTTTGTTGAATATTGTCAAAAATTCTATGACATTTTGTTGAAAACTGATTGTATCAGTAAAATGCAAACTGTTTTTTTGTTCATTTTTACATTAATCATTACATTAAGTTGTGTTATAAAAATGATATTAAAATTATGATATTAAAATGTTTATATCTTAAATGCGTTATTTGTTCATTATTACATCAACAAATTGTGTTACTTAATGCTGTCCTGTTTGTGACAGTGAAGCCAATATCAGGTCTTATTTAAAGCAGGAGTAATCTTTCTATTATTTAAGTAAAAAAAGAGAGAATAATATTGCTCTCATTTTAAGAATTTGAGTGGGAGAAACTATTATTTGATTTGAATTTTTTTTTAATAAAATCTTTTTGTTATAGACTAAAGTTGTTTAATTAAACAGTAAAGTTTGTCTATTTTTAAAATAATGTTTTACATTTAAAATTATTATACACATATAATCGTTATACACATATAATCATTATGCACATATTTTGTTATAGACATATAATTGTTATACACATGCAATCAATATACATTGTATAATCATTATACAATGAAAATGTTGAACAAAAAGAGTTGATGAGCACGTTCAAAATGAACTCTTAAGGTGGTAAAATCTGTCAAGTCCTGCCTAACCAGGAATCCTGTACAGATGGCAAAGTACCTTAACATGTCAGAGGTAACAGTGAGAAATCTCATAAAATGTGATATTGGATCTTTAGCCAGAACAGCTTGGTCATTACTGACTTAAAGTAATAAGACCAGCAAACTTAAAAGAAGCCAATGAATCTTGGTCTTGTCATATGGTAAACTTCAGTCAGATGCTTGTGCATCCAAATACTGTTCTGAAGGTTTCCCCTAGGTAAGGCTGGAATGGTATTTTAAGCAATTACATCCAGATGATGCGCCATGGATTCAGAGGTTGAGTTGAACAAATTATCGAGAAAAATTTTAATTAATTTTCGTTAAAGTGTTTGTTAAAATTGTTAAGAAACGATTGAGTTTTAGTGCCACATAGTTACATAGCATAGTTGAAAATGTTTTAATGATGAGAAAACATTAAGTATAAATTTATTTTAAACAAAAGGAGAAATAAAAACTAGGTTACAAAATGTGTAATCAGTTGCAGAAATTCTAATGAACTTTTTTTTCGAATGTTTTTTTCTAGTAGATAATAGTTTCAAAATAACAAATAAAAACTTTTTACAAGTTTATAAATGTGGCCAAAACCAATTTACAATGCTCAAATCTAATGACTTAATGATGAGTGAATGTCAATGTGAGTACCCATAATGCAATGTGAGTGCCTATAATGCTCATTGATAACATATTTCCATTTTACTGTAAAACACAGCATTCTTCATGATAAGGTCTTATTTTTCTGATTATAATTCTATAATTATAATTCACTACAACAAGCTGTCAAAGCTAAAAATGTCATTTGAAATAATACATATGGTTGCTGCTGCTAGACAAATAGTTACCCATTTTACCATCTCTGGTGTGGTAAAAAAATAGCTGAAATGCATTTGTCAAAAACTTTCAATAAATTTGACAGAGAGAATTTTGCAGAGAGAATTTTTATTGAAATCCAGATCTTCACTGTAATATAATTTTAAAGCCTGGTTCAACTTTAATGAAAATTACAAATATCTGGTTGGCACTGGTCTTAGCCAATGTTTTAAAACTAGTTTTTTGGGATTAGTTAAAACACTAAGAGCAAACCAAAGTTTTTTTTTTTTTTTAAACTTTAAGAAAGAGTTATAATATGTTTAATAGCACCAGTTATGATTTATCTCTTGATGAATCATCAGCAATGATTTATCTCACATTTAGAATAAAAGAAGTGAAATGATTGAGATGATATACAATAGTTTCTGGAAATGTTTTGAGAAAGTTTAGGAAAGTATGCCCACGGATCAAGTTGAACAAAAAAGTTCATCTGAAACTGAACTTTTTTTTTAAAATTTTTTCCTTCAATAGGCAGCCTTACAAGTAACTTACAAGTTGTGGTCATCAAAACAATACTTAAACCTAGCAGAATTTGCTAATATTTATTTATCATCTCAAGTTAACAGGGTGTGTAGTGAGCAGCTACTTATCTCTGAAAATGTTTTTAAAATTTTATATTTTTAGTTTCGTGTTGTTTAATTACATAGTGCACATATAAAGCATGCGAGAAGACATTTTTTAAAAAGTTTTGAGCACCACCTTGTTATATTTTTACCATATCTATTTTCTTAGTTGTGTTTAATTTTTAAGACATATTCTAGTTCGTCAGGTTTTCAAAGATTTGGATTTTCTTGGTTGGTACACTGTTGGTTGGTCAGAAGCTACAGAATGTGACATATCAGTTCATAAGCAGGTTTTTTTTAATATTTTCTTTTATTTTTATTTTATAAAAGAAAAGTTAAGAAAATAAAAAGAAAGGATTTTAAGTATTCACTCTATGGAAATTCTCATCCAAACTTGTTTATATTCAATATGTTCCTGTCCACCCTCTGAAGCAGTGGTTGAAAACCTTATTGAGTCAAGTGTTATTTATTTTTTACTACTGAAATCTTAAGGAATCTTGTGTTCTCAACTTTGGTTTTAAAATATGAAAATCGAATGTTTTCACCCATAAAGTTTGTAAAATTTTATGGGTGAAAAAAAGAAGTAGTAAAAATGTATATTTATATTGTGGTTGCAAAATCTTATGCATTCATTTAGTTATTGTTTAAAAGATATAGTTGTATCAGGAGGTGGAACATAGGTGGTGGAGGAGGAATTGATGTGGAACATAGGTGGTGGAGGAGGAATTAAAAGTCAAAGTGATGTGTTTGTATTAAGATCAGAGTCTCCACTTCATCAAGAGGTTTTTTTTTAAAGATTGAAGGAAAACTGTGCCAAGTATTCAAGTTTCTTAAATTTAATAACAGTTTGTTATTGAATCAGAAAAACAGTTTGTTAGTGTGAAACATAGGTGCAATAAGGAGCTATACGTAGCTTGTTCACCAAAAAGGTCGGCAACAACTGCTCTAGAGCATTCATATATATCCTTCTCCCTAGGATGAAAATAATTTTAAAAACTGAAAATACCAATCATCTATTGCTACCAATTTTATTTTAGCTTACTGTAATTAATGAAAGTTCCTTATTGTTGAAGTTGGATCCTTTTTCAAAATCAGCTAATGTATGTTTTTTTTTAATTCTGAAAAATTTGTTATTATTAGAATAATTAACGTCTGTTCACAAAAAATCCGGAATGAAAAATTGTTCTTAATTGAATACAAAATTAATTGATTTTTGACAAAAAATTTTAACTAAAATGAGAGACTGGACATCGTTAACTATTTTATAACCGAAAGTGGTCCTAAATCAGCGGCTTTTCGAACTTTAGTTTTGACTGAATCCATTGGGTTGAAAAAGTAGTCTGGATGGAACTCTTTCAACTTTAATCGAATTCCATTCTTAAGGTGGTCAAGATTTTTCGCAGTAAATCCATTTCCATAAACTTTTGCTTTTAAATGTGCCCAAAAATTTTCAATTGGCCTTAACTGCGGTACATTTGGGGGGTTATCTTTAGCGTCGACAAAGTTAATATCTAAAGTGATGTAAGTTTCTAATGTGTATTTTGCATAATGACATCTCGCTCCGTCAGGCCAAAATAAAATTTTCATGTTTTGATGCTTGGAATTTATAAATGGATGAAGTCTTTTTGTAATACATTCTTTAGAATAAGTTTTTGCATCCATGACCGAAACGACTGATTGCAATCCAAACGAGAACTTTCTCGTCAAACTTTTTTTTGAAGTTGAATTTAATGTTAGGATCAGTTTGAGAACTATCCTTTGTATAGTACCCAGAGTTTTGTGAACAATTTGCACCATTTACACAAAAATAATATTCATCGTCCATGATGATTTCAAACTCATTTGATGGCTTGAAAAAAGTTTTTGAAAGTTTTAATAAGTTTTTCTTTTGTTTAATTTCTTGCTTTTCTGTTGTTTTTGGTGCATTTTTTCTTTTGGTATACTTCAGTCCATGCATACTTAATAATCTATTTACATATGAAACGCTTATCTTATATTTTAGTGCCAATTTTCTTTGCAAAATCCCGATTCTCTCTTCTGTTCTTGCAATCATGGACTCTATCTTTTCTGGTGTGATTTTAAAAGGTTTTCTGCCGCAACCGATTTTTCTTTTCATTGGCAAATTATTTTCAGACCTTTTAATTATGTCATAAATTGTAGATTTAGCGATTCCCATTTTCTTAAAATGATCCACTGTAAATTTCATTCCACTGTTTATGTTTTGTTTATAAAAATTTCCAATCACATTTCTAACATCGTTCTCTTTTAGATGCTCCATGCTTATTTGAATTAATTATTTAAACTCAATTTTGCCACAAAATGAAACTGTTGTTGTTGACCGATTATATTTAAAAATTTCGAATCAAAAATTCAAAATTTAGAACAATATTACATTTGAAATCAGTCCGGATTTTTTGTGAACAGACGTTATTTTATTTTGTATAATATGTTTAAACATATTTGGAAAGTATAGATGTTTGTATAATATAAATTTTTAAATATATTCAAATTATAAACATTATCATATAATCGTTATTATATAATCACTTAGTCTTTATTGTTTTTATTGCTTGGTTCTAATTTTTAAAAACTCTGCAGAACATTCTAACCCTTCCAATTATTGTCAAATCAGTCTTCTCTCTATTGTTAGCAAGATCAACAAATTTCTAACATCTTCATCTCTATGTTTCCCTGACTCATACAACTTCCAACTTTTCAAGTTTTCTATCAACAGTTTCCTTGCTCTTTAATTCTTTTCTTTGTTTCCTAGTAACTTAATAATGGGTACTTGCAGCCATGTTGGGAGGAAATAAGATATAAAAATGATGTATTTTTTTTTAAATTTAGCATTTCTTCTTTTAAAGTATTTTCAGAGTTCAATCACCACCATGTCCCTGGTAGTACCGCGCTCAACTTGTTTCTCCGCGCAGCAGCCTTGCTCGTCAAGGTTCGTGTTTTGGAGTTATAGAGTTGAGAGAGGGTTATAACCACTATTAAGCAGCCTCCTTGTCTGTAGTGGCCTTCTCGGTCTTAAGGAGGTGAATAAAAAAAAAAAAAAAAAGAGCAAACTGTGGCAATTTTTTTTGATTAACATGTTTAAGATGATTTTATTTTTTATTTTCAAAGATTATTATTTTTGTTTTTGATTAAAAATAAGAAAATTATTTATTTGATTTTGTTTTTGCAAAAGTAAACTGAAAAAATGTAGTTAAAGAAAAATAAAAATGTAAAATCTATTGAAATATATTACTGTAGAATATATGGCCATTAAAAAAATACTTTATAAAAATTTTGAGGATATAATAAAAGTTAAAAAATGTCTGAAAAAGTTATAATTACCTTAAGAAAAAGCATTTTAAGAAAAGTTAGTTTATATTTTCACCACCATTTACATTTGCATTACATGAAGTAGAGTGATGCTTACAGAATCATCAAAATTATGAAATCTTTATGAGCTGTATGATAAGATTAAAAATCACAAGTTATCACATTGTTTATCACACAGTTATCACACAGTTATCACAAGTATTTTCAATTGTTTTGGGGGAAAAAGTGTATCAAAACAAAGAGCTTGTAAGAATTACATTTGGCTTTGTTTTGAATATAATTAAAGAATCTCTTATTCCATTAGACGATGATGAGTATCAAATTTGTTTTAAGTATGGTTGTGATGGAGTAAACATTAATGAAATCAATATAAATGATTGAAAGTAAATGTTTCAATACAAATTTGAAACTAATGAAACTACTATGCAATAAATCACGAAATTATATACGATTTATATAATTATATAAAGATTTCTGATTGTTTTATCATTAAAAGAAAGTTAATGAGTATTATTCCTACTAAAACTTAGGATTTTCGGGTAAAGACTGACTAAAAAGCCACTAAATCAGATTAAAAATATATATATAATACACATTCATCTATTAATGGGACTAACTGGTTATTCTAACTACTACATCGGTGTCAAACAGGTTTTAGACCTAAGGTTGAAAAAACAGGACCACTTGGTATCAATAGGCAATGCAAGAGACATAGTTATTACTAATTAAAAAGAAAACAACAAAGATGTAACAAAATTTGTTACAAAATTATAGCTTTTAGTTTTATAACTCATGCAGCTCACGTGGTGAGTTGTCTTTTAGTAAGATCTTATCCTTAACCAAGTTACTCATTTACATTCTTAAATCCATCAAGCCAGCATTGTGGTTAAAGTGTTCCCACAAGAAGTTCCCAGATCCTAAAAGCATAGCTGCAGGTTTTTAAATAAAAAGCGGCTTAGTTCATTAGCTCTTCGTGTTTTTGACGTCATAAAATTATCTTTATTTTTTTTATTATTTCAGGACATTAACTTTTTTAAACTACTGCAATAAAATAAGTTATCACAAAGCAAGTTTATTTTACTAATTAAGAAAAACAAATTTTGTTAATGTACATATTGTAAATGTTTATTTTGTTTTTCCTTTCTCAACTTTCTCAACTCAACAAGGTTAAGGCCATTGCTCTTGACATTTCTAAAGCGTTTGATAAAGTTTGGCATGCTGGTCTTCTCCGTAAGCTTTCTTCTTATGGTGTATCTGGAAACATCTTTAAGATTATTGAATTCTTTCTTTCCAATTGTAGTATAAAAGTTGTCCTTGATGAACAGCACTCTTCTTATTCTGTAACCTCAGGGGTTCCTCAAGGTTCAATCCTTGGCCCTATACTCTTTTTAATATACATTAACGATCTTCCAGATATTTTCACATCTAAGGTGGCATTGTTCGCTAATGATACTACCATTTATTCTTGTCACGATAAGAAGCCAACTCCCTCTGATTACTTGCAGGGGGCATTTGAGCTTGAAAATGATCTCACTTCTGCTACAGCATGGGGCTCACAGTGGCTGGTGAACTTTAATTCAGATAAAACTCAATTTTTTTCAGCCAATTGTTATCGCAATAATTTAGACCTTCCTATATTTATGAATGGTAATGTACTCAATGAGTCATCTACCCTTCATCTTCTAGGATTAACTCTCACTTCTGATCTTTCTTGGAAACCTTATATCAAGTCCGTTGCAAAATTAGCATCTGCTAAAGTTGCATCTCTTTATCGAGCTCGACACTTTCTTACTCTGGATTCTATTCTCTATCTCTATAGATCTCAAATCCGACCTTGTATGGAATACTGTTGGCATATATAAAAAATAAAAAAAAATAAAAAAATAAAAAATATCTGGGGCGGATCTTCTAATGATGCCCTTACTCTTTTATACAAGGTGCAAAAACGCATTGTAAACATAGTTGGACCTGCTCTTGCAGCCAACCTTCAACCTCTGTCACATCGTCGTAATGTTGCTTCTCTTTCTTTTTTCTACAAATACTATAATGGGCACTGCTCTAAAGAGCTAGCGTATCTTGTGCCATTTCACAGTGGTCCAGTACCATGTCATAAATACAAAAACATACTTTGTTTTATAATAAAAACAATTTAAAAATTGAATTATATATAGTATGTGAAAATCAGATTTAAATTTTTAAGGTTCGTTATTAAGAAAAAAATTGTTTAAGGAGGGTTTGAAGTTCAAAAATTGACACAAAATTACATTTTTTCGGGCAAAAAATCAGTCTGCAAACTTTTATACATTCTCACTCCTACCAATGTCACAGATATACCAATTTTTTTAAATATTCTTATAAAATATGGAGGATCAATATAAAATAATTTAAAATATAAAATTTCATAAAAAAGACACAATTTACCGCATGTTTAACATTTTTTTCTTTTAAATTGTTTGAAAATAAAACTTTGAACAATCAGGAAAATTTTCGCTCAGGTTTGCCCAGCTTGAAATTTTTTGCATTTGAAAAAATGATGTTTATAGAAAACTTCTGAAAAAGTTTTGGCTGCTTTTGTTTGCTTTTGTGTCTATAGGGTCAGTTTAAACATGACATACTTAAACTAAAATACAGCTCCCCCTGACACTCCCGATGTTTTTTAACAAGTTCAACCGCGAATATGAATAGAGGAATATTCTAAAATAAAAGCGGAAAAGACGAATATACAAAACAAGAAATATTCACAAATATTTGCAGTAATTACTTTGTGCTCTAAATACCTTTCACCACTATAGTGGTGAAATCAAATTTAAATATGAAGAACAAAGACATTTTCGATTACTTAATTAAAGGAAAATATGATAATAAATATGAAAGTTTAATTAGCAAGAAAGCGAAAACTGAAATTTGTATATTGATGTCTCAATGTTATCCGAACTACAATCAGATAAAGTTAACCAAAAAATTTATGAAAAACTTTAAAAAGAAATGGAATGAGACGGGTAGACAAAAAGGGAGGTTTATAAATCATTACGAGAAATGGTTAAATATGGAGTTTATTGTAAATGAACTTCAACAGCAAGTTAGGATAAACCATTTACAACGAGGTGCACCATTAAAATCATTTGAAGATCTCTCAACAAGGTCTAAGAAAAGAAGAGATTACTGAAAAATTCAGAGATTACTGAAAAATTAGGAGTTACTACTGAAAGCCTATTTCATGCCCTTATCCTTAATCTAAATAAAGAAGGACGAAATAAAGACGCCAAAGTTTTAAAACATATGATGGAAAGTAAAGCTGAAGAAGCTTTAGCTTTAATGTTAGGCTGTAGAATGAGTAGGGCTGACTATCAAACTATCCGTCAAGGGGCCTTAGATAAAGGTTGCATGTTATACCCTGCCTACAACTTTATTGTGAAATCAAAAAGTGATTGTATTCCAGATTCCGGAATTGTTACCACAAACTACAGTGCTTCTGTAAATCTTCAAGGAATAATGGATCACACTACAAACAGGATTTGGAAAGTTATTGATAAATCAAAACTACCTGAGCCTTGCAATACTCTTCTTCTTATAAATTCGATGGTTCAACTGGACAGTCTGTTTATAAACAGAGAACTGAAGATGAAGAGGACAGATTGTCATTCTCAGTTGAAGAATCTTTGTTTTTTTCATATTTTTTTCATTTTTTTCATATATACATATATATATATATATATATATATATATATATATATATATATATATATATATATATATATATATATATATATATATATATATATATATATATATATATATATATATATATATATATATATATATATATATATATATATATATACAGAGCCTTTGCTAGGAAAAAAATTTTGGGTGGTGGTGCCCCCTCATTTTAACGAACTTTAGCAGAAAATCTGTTTTTTTCAGATTTTGGTTGATAATATATCAGTATTGTGATTACTCATCACAATGGTACTCTAAAAAATCACAACGTTAATATGAAGTGGTGCTTATAACTAGATAGTGGGCTAATAAGACTTTAAAACACGCATCTCTTGTAAATTGTAAATTTTTCATTTTATATTTTATGTATATAAAACATTACAAGAATTAATTAATCTTCTTTTTCTAAAAAAAGTCTTTATTTTGTTTCTCATTTCAAAAATCTATTCTGAAAAATATATAATATCATATAGACTTTAATACACTTTAATAAGTGTATTAAGCTGGACTGAGAGTGTGTTAAGAAGGCGGTATTATACTAAGGTAAGGGTGTTATATTATAATAAGGGTGTATTAAAAGTTGTTTTATATTTAAACTTTTTGTTTTGTTTTTTCTCAACTTTTTTTTTTTTTTTAAATTAATTTTAATGCTTGTATTTATTTGTATTTACTTGTATTTTAAAGTTTTTTTAAAATAAAAATTAATCATGTTAAATTTTTAGAATAAAAATTTAACATGATTAATTTTTGAAAAATTTATGAAAAAATCAAGCCATCAAAGGTTTATGCTCATTTAAAATATTGAACCCTAATGATGAATCAAAATGATGAGTTGTATAGTAATATATTATATAAAGTACAAATATTGAACCCATTTGATATCTTAATGAGCTCAAATGGTGTATGAGTTCATTATATAACATTTTATAACATTATAATGAACCATTATCAATTGAGTTTTGATTTGAACAAAGTCTTTCTGAAGTGTTTTATCAAATTTTGTTGTCAGCATAAAAAATTTAAAAAAAGGGAATAAATTGTAATGTAATATAATTATATTGAATTTTTTTTTTTTATCAAGATTTTTAACTTATAATTATTAAGTATATTAGATTCATTATTTGCAGTTATTAACATAGGAAAAGACTTAAGTATGTTTAAATTATTTTCTGTTTTTATAAATTAAAAATAATTTGATGTTTTTTATGAATTTATAGCTGCCTATAACAATATATGAATCTATGTTGGATATTGTAAATGAACAGGTGAGATATAACATTATATGTCTTTTATAACATTATATGAATCTATATTGGATATTGTTCTATAGCAATATATGAATGTATGGTGGATATTATAAATGAACAAGTGATATTCTCTTGATTATCAAATAATAAACAAAAATTTTTAAAAATTTCAAAAAGTAACTTTGAATTAAAGGACAATTAGCACCCAATCTCTTTTGCTCCTTTTACATGTTAACTTAAACCATGTTTTTACAGCTATGTTTCCAGACAGTGCCATAGTTTCACTATTTCAAATGAGTCAAAAAATCATGGTTTATCTTCTTATTTTAAATCAGTAGAAACTTTGAAACTATTAGGCATCCATAAATATTCTTTTTATGAAAGTTTAAACCAGATCACCCAAATTTCAGGATATTTATATCAGATTCTAGGGTGTATATAGAAATCATGTTAATGTTCGTTATTTTGGATCAAGTTTCTTAAGTCATGCAACACACCAAGACTTAATAACAAATTTTAAGGATATTGTTAAAAATTTGGAAATAACAATGATATACCAAATATCAATGAACAGTCTATTTTTTTCAATGAATTTTTTGATGAAACAACATTCTGACTGAAACTATTTTACATTTTCTTATTAACATTGGAATTTGCATATTGCCCATGGCAGTTTTAAAACTGGAAAGTCTCAAAAGAGAGACTGTCATAATGGAATCTAAAAAAAAGTTTTGAATGCTGCTTTACATGATAGTCTTGATAGCAATCCTGATATCCTGATGATAGCAAGGAGAGGAACATCTGCTACTGGTTCTTTTATCTGCCCTCTTAACTTCTGCTCAGCAGGGTAACTTCTTCTCTAGTACTAGCTCCATTCAAAACATAAGTTCACAAACTTGGGATGATCAAGTTTTCACATGACAATAAGTTACTGGCAATTACAGTAAGACAGACAACATTTTTTGTGAACCATCTGACTTGATGACTGATATTAAAGTATTGACAAGAGAACTAATATGAATAGATATGATTCAAAATGTTTCTAAATGGTATTTGATTTCTATTTTAGGCGGTTTGAAAACAAAAAAGTGGTTACCTGGTTGATTGAAGTGTTTGAAATTTTTTTTTTTTTCTGGAATGCCTTACCTTAATCCGAACAGCCAAAATGTATAAGTTAATAGACGTTAAAAAAAAACAAAAAAAACTTCAAGATCATTTATCTGCTTCTTCAGTTACTTTTCTTCGCTTATATTTCAAATATATTTGAACCTTTTTTCTATTATAAATCTAAAATAACTTTTTTTAGTTAAACTGTATAATAAATACAATACCAACCAAATACAATACCAAGTTTCTATTGTTTTTATTATGCAGTATAACTAAAAAAAGTTTGAACCTTTTTTCAAATCACATAAATCGTGTCAATTTTTTATCTTGGTTTTATTAAATATTATATTTGAATATATTATATACTATATATTCATATTTGAATCTTGAAATCTTATATTTAACTAAGTTAGAAACAGATGGATTCATTTTCTTATCAATAAATAATTTAGTTTCAATAGAGTCAATAATTTTTTTGTGGAGATTTTTTTTGTAAAACAAAAGAAATATTTTTTTTGTCTTTATCAAATCACAGCCAAGTGCTTTTGCTTGATCAACCAAACAACATGTAAGACCAAATTATATATAAAGTTAATTGTACCAAAAAAATAAATTGATTATAGCAAGAGGAAAAAATTAGTTTTTTCTAGTAAGTTGATGTTAAAAAGAACTGGATTTTTTAACAACCTTGTCTAAAATAAGAAAATCTGGTTCTTTTTTTGTTGTAAGTATCAAATTTTATTTTTTTATTTAAGGTGGTTTAAAAATTCTTTGGTTACATATTCAGAATCAAAGATAGCAATTATGTCATGCACATATTGTTTATAAAAAATGTACAAGCAAATATAAATTAAAGGTAAAAGAAACGTTATTAAATAAGTAAATGCCTAATAAGTTTTTTATTTAATTAAACTGCCAGTTTATTTTGATTTTGATTTTTTGCCTAATTTAAAAGTTTAATTTAGTTTACTAATCAGTTTAGTTTAGTTTGATTTTAGTTATTTTGATTGGTTATTTACCAAATCATTTCTTTAATAATTTTTATTGGTTTATTATGTATATGTTCTGTCCGCTAATATTTCTCTGTAAAATCTTCTATTTTAAATATTCAGAGTTTTTATTTAAAGCCTTTTGAAAATAGTTATATTGAAAAAAATGTCAAGAATAAAAAATGTTGTGTTTTTTTTAAATATATATGAGCCTGTTTATATAATGCTTTTTTTAAATAATTTGAATGAAATTTTATAAGTGTATTAAGTGTCTGTTTTTATAGCCTCGAATGTCATTTATTGAAATAAGTTACACTTTGGCATCTGAAGAAGCAGAAAGAATTGGTGTTGATCATGTTGCTAGGCTATCATCAACTGGTCACTCAGATGTATCTCAAGGTTCTAATAAAATATATTTTTAATTTTTGTTTTTTAAATTAAACAAATTTAGCGTAAGAATTGATATGCAAGACTTACATTATAGAGGTATAAGAATACAGTTAGATAAATAGAAACATGATATTAGACATGAGATTAGTCCTGAGATAAGAAAATTTTATTCTGTTTGTTAATTACTGTCTCTATTTTTATTTTCTACTAACAGTTGTGTGACCTCAGGTTTTCATTTATTTTTTACCAACAGTTGTGTAACCTCAGGTTTTCATTTATTTTTTACTAATAGTTGTGTAACCTCAGGTTTTTATTTATTTTTTACTAATAGTTGTGTAACCTCAGGTTTTCATTTTTTTTTTTTTACTAATAGTTGTGTAACCTCAGGTTTTCATTTATTTTTTACTAACAGTTGTATAACCTCAGGTTTTCATTTATTTTTTACTAACAGCTGTGTGACCTCAGGTTTTCATTTATTTTTTACTAACAGCTGTGCAACCTCAGGTTTTTTCCAATCACTTTTCAGGTTTTTTCTAATCATTTTTCTCAGGTTTAGTATTCTAATCATTTTTTGGTTTATCTTAAGTGCAGGGAAAAAACTGAAAAAAAAAATTAAATGCAAGGCTACTAAAATACAACTAATAAGAAACTAAAAATTAAAAACAAATTAATTATATTTATTAATTATATATAATTATTGTTTAATAGTATCGCAACGGAAAAAACATATTCAACATATTTGTATAATATTTTTAGTTTTATTTATTTTTTGTCATAGTTAATATCTGTTTTTTTTTTTGTTTTTATTTTGACCAAAATAAAAACATTGTCAACCAAAAACTTTTTAGAGAAAGAATAAAATTATATTTTTGTTTAATATTCAATCAGTTTAAACTGTCTGAATCTTTTTACTTTAACATGCAACAACTAACAACATGCAACTTTTTTAGTAAAAAATTTCCATGTGCTTCATCTATTAAACTTTTGTTTGACAAAGTTTAAATAAAAATTTAACTATGTCATACAAAATGTAAAGCATAATTAATGATTTGTGTGCCCATTAATGTGTTTTGAAATGCAATTATAACATTTAAAAAAATGATTTGTTAGCATTTTTTAATTGAAAAAAAATGTTATTTTGAAACACATTTTGAATTGCAAAGGAAACTTGCTTCAAAATTTGACTACAAGGTTAAAAAAAATATAGTCACATTTTAAAGCATTTTAAATTATGCGCATGTCTAATCTAATTCAGCTTCTTTTATTACGTTTAGTATTAAAATAATAAATTAAGTTTCATAATAAATTATATTATACAACTTGACTATTTATTACTATTATAACTAATAATTGTCTAATCACCCTGTCAGGCTACTGATTGGTATTTTTTCTAAATTTCAGTTGCCCTTGCAAGTTGTTCCGTACTGCCTAATGACCATGACATCCTTGTCTGTTGCAAAACTTTTTGCTACTTTTTTTTATCATCCTGCTACTGAAAACAGTACAGCCTGCCACATGCCCTACTGCATTGTAAAACTTAAAAGAAATTAACTCTGACTTTAAATACCTTCTTTCTTTGTTGAGTAAAATGTTGAAAATTTCAATTAAAGTACAGATCTTAAAATGATCATCTTTAAAACAATCGAATTATTATAACAATGAAGTCATTATAATCAAAATCATCTTTAAAATGGTTTCTTGAAAGTCTTATATTTTCACATTTTTTGTTACTTTATAAAAAAAATTATTATTTGGTTTCAAATATTTTTAAAAAAATTTTAATTTAAAAAAAAATTTTTTTTGATGTAAATTATTAAAATATATTTTTTAATTTTTTCGGATTTTTTTTTTTTTTTTTGATAGAAATTGTGAACTAAATTTTTGTAATAACCACTTAATAATAGTTAATGCTGTTGAGATAAAGCGCCATCTATCACAGCCGTTATATATTAATTAATATTATAGCTGTGCTGTTGCCAGGCAATATCTAAGACAGCTGTTATATATTAATTAATGAACAAGTTCAGTTACTAAATAATAAAATGTTAATAATAAGCTTTCTTGATTTTTCTCTTGTTTTTTATTATTTCTAAGTTGACTGATTGCAAGTTTAGTTTGAAGCTTTTAACTGTAGTAGATTGAATGACTTCTGCTGTTAGACTATCAACATCCCATCATTAACAACCCTATTGCTGGCAAAATATTGCTTTTTCAAACAATTTTTGACCAATTCAGGTTTCATTCAATGTTTTGCTCCTCTAATGCAAGACCTGATGAGCAAATAGAGTTCATTGTTTGGTTTTGTTTAATATCAGTTATTTCAATACCTTTAAGTATTTTGAATTGCTGGATCAAGTCGCCTCTTACCCTTCTAGTCTCCAAAGTATTCAAACCCAAAATTTTCAATCTTTTTTCATACTCAAGATGTCTTAGTTCTGGTATCATTTTGATTGCTCTTTGTTGAACTTTTTCTAGTTCATTAATATCTTTTGTATAATATCGACTCCATGCTTGAATTGAAAACTTAAATTTATAATTCTAACATTTTTCTCATAGTCTTACAAAATTGTTCTCCAGAACTCCCTTCAATTCTAATTTAATAAAGGCTTGACTGAGTCTTGTTTTCCTGCCATCTTGAAAATGGCATTTTTTGTCCCAGTTTTCAAAAACTCTGGTGAACATTCTGACTCCTCCAATTATTATCCAATCAGTCTTCTTTCTGTTATTAGCAAGGTCTTTGAGTATTTGATAAAGGAATTTCTCACATCCCATCGATGTGATGATTATTGAGTCAAATAACTTACTGTTAGACAATCAATACGGTTTTCGATCCTCTCGCTTTACTGATGACTTGTTAACTGCTGTGACTGAAAAATTTTATCATTGCATTAGATTATTTTATTAGTACATTAGGTGAAGGCAGAGGGGCTAGGGGTATTGCTCCTGACATAACGAATGCTTTCAACAAAGTTTGGCATGCTGGTCTTCTCTATATAAGCTTATTTCATATGGTGTATCTGGGAAAGTTTTAAAGAATATCAAATCATTTCTTTGTAACCGCTTTATTAAAGTCATCCATAAAGCCAACACTCTTCTTTATTTCCAGTAACTTCTGGGGTACCTCAAGGTTCTATCCTTAGTTCTGTTTTGTTTCTTATCTACATTAATGATCTTCTTGACAACCTTACACATAAAGTAGCTTTTTTTGCTGATGACTCAACTTTATACTCCTGTCTTGGCAAAAAAGTCTTTCCTTTTTGATCGCTTAGAACAGGCAGCCAATCTTGAATTTGATCTCCCTTCTGAACCAGATTGAGGCTCACAGTGGCTTGTAAATTTTAACTCCAACAAAATTTAGTTATTTACTGCAAACAAATATTGGAGAACTGTAAACATTCCGATATATATGAATGGCAACCATCTCACTTACTACTGACCTTTCATGTAAAAACCAATATACAATCAATTGATAAATTAGCATCTGCTAAGGTTTCTTTTCATTATCTGCTTGCCATTTTCTCTCTCCTGATTCCATTCTCTACCTCTACAAATCACTTATTTATCCTTGTACGGAATACTGCTTTCATATTTGGGCTGGTTCTTCTAAGGATTCTCTTTCTCTTCTAGACAAGGTCCAAAAACACATTGTAAACATAGTGGGACCTGCTCTATCTGCTATGTTTGAACCTCTTTTTCATTGCCGTAAAGTTGCATCTCTTTGTCTTTTCTACAAATACTATCATCATTGATATTATTATTCAAAAACTTTTTTAGAGTCATTGCTCAAAGAAGCATTTCTAGAATCATCTCTAGTTCCATCAACTAAAACTCTTTTTTGCTTGACTTGTCATTCAGCAAAGTCTCATTATTTTACTGTATCTGTCCCTGCATGCTCTAAAAACATTTATTTGTCTAGTTTTTTTCCTCACACTTCAACCCTTTGGAACTCTCTCCCATCTTCTTGTTTTCCTGTTTTTTACAACCTTCAATTTTTTAAGTCTACTGTCAACAGTTTCCTTGCTCTATAACTTTTTCTAGTAACTCCCAGCCTAATAGTGGTTGCTTGCAGCCTTGTTGGGAGTGAATCAGAGTTTAAAAAAAAATCAAACCAAATATCTTTATAACAAAAAAGTATGCAAATCCATGAGCTCATAATTCATAGACTTATATTTATCAATAAATTCATTGGCTCATAAACCAGAAATCTCAATAAGTAATTTTGTTTGGAAAGTTTAAAGCTTGTTTTCTTATATTTATTTATAAAACAAAACAACTTGTTTTGGCACTTGGAATCTCTTTTATGTTTTGATTTAATTGTAATTGTTAGAGGTGCTTTTACCAACTGCAAAAAACTGCAAAGCAAAAGTTATTTTTTTATAAGTATTTATATTTTTACTTACAATCAGCAAAACATCAATTGTTAACAAATAGGAAATAAATTATTTTCAACAAAATTTACTTACAATTCATCATTTACATTAATTTAACATTTAAAATTATTAAATGATTCAACTTAACTATAATTATTGAAATACCAACATTGTGAAAATTATATTTCCATTAAATTACGGACCAGGATTGCAGTACCAAGAATTAGTTTGGGTTTCCTTTATTAGTTGTAATGAAATACAATGTCTTACTGAATTACAAAAATTATACTTCACTAGTTGCAATTAAATACAAATTTATATATTAACTTATTTTCACATCTATTTCGGTAATATAAAATATTTGTTGCTCATATGTAAATTTTGTAGTTTTAAAATTTGTATTACAAATTAATTCGAAAAATCAAAAGAAACTTTCCCGAAACTCAAAGAAGTTCAAAGAATGTAAATTTTAAGAAATTTTAGGAAATCTCAAAAAAAAAAACACGCTAGTTGGTATTATTTGTTGTTTTTATTATTTTATGTATTTAAATCTGCTTGAAAATTGCGCAGTCCACGTGTAAAAGTATAGCATATGCTACATGAGGAAAGGTCCACTTAAAATTGGTGTAAATGACTTTTTCTTATGTTAAATTTGTTGTTATCTGAAAAATTAAGTTTAATAATACTTTATTATATTTTTTTATTGTGTTGGAACATGTGTTTTTTTTAGTTATAAAACAAATACTCTCTTTTTAAACATCTAGTTGCATTTAAGTTTTAGATCAAAAATTTCTATTTTAGTTTCAGAACATATGCAAGTTGATAAAAGTGCAGTGCAGATGTTATACTCAAGAATTGAAACTATACTCCAATACGTAAAAGCTGTACAAAATGGTTTGTTCAACTTTTTGTTGTTAACAAAGTAGATTGCTGGATCAATATCTTGATGTAGAGTAACTTCTGTAATGTAACTTTTTTAGGTGAAATACCTTTGAATCAAGAAATAATGCGCGAGTGTTTAAGTTTATGTCAACGACTTCCTGTTTTAAATACAAATTCGTTTAAAGAAGATTTACTGAAAGTAAGAAATTTAATATTTGTTACTTTTTTAAACACCTATGAAGATTTTCTTTAATGGTATATTGATGACCTTAAAATATTTTTGTATATTGATTTTAACTGTTGTTAACTTGGTTAAAAGGTTGAACATTAAATTGCTGTCTTAATTTGTGCAAGGTTCACCAAAATTTGCAAGTAATAAGCAAGGTCTTTTAGAAATTTTCAGCTCAAAATATTAAAAATTGATAACACATTTTCATTTTTTACCTGGAGTCTATGTTTGAATTTCTTTTTTTTTTATCTTGTAAAATAATCATTAAAAAACTTCAAAAAGTTTTTCTAGATAAAGAATCCAAAAACCTACTTAGAAAACCATAAAAATAAAGAAAGCAGTTTAAATTAAGAAAGCTCTTTTTGAAAAATTTTTCAAACACATTTTATGGTACATAAAAACGTTTATATATGTTTTTTATATACACTTAATTTTATTACATCAAAGTCATTCATCTTTATTATATCCTTTTACATAAGTTATTAAAAGCAACTGATCTTAATTAAAGTAAGTTTTATATACTGACGCTAGTAATGTAAATTTAGGTAACAAATCTTTTTTTTTTTTCTATTTTCAAAATGTATTGGCAGCTTCAAATGTTTTTATTACTTTTGTTAAAAGAATAATTTACAGCAGTTAACAATATCTTAGAATGTTACCTTTTTTTACCTTCAATTTCCTGTCATAAGAATAATTTTTTTGAAATTTTTTATATTAGAATGTGTTGATGTTGTTTAAATTAAAATTAATATGCAGCACAATTTCATAAAATTTGTTTTTTTTTATGTTAAAATATTTTAGAAGTGTCTTGTATAACAATATAAAATATGAATAATATAAAATAAGGTGTCAAAGTTTTGATAGTGTTGAGCATGGTACTACTAGGGACATGTGGGATTAAACTAGGCATTTGCTTAAAACGTTAGCGCTCTACCACTACAACTGAAGTTAACATGATGCATTTTTTCATTCATATTTGGTAAAGTCAGTTCTAGATAAGTTACAGTTAAGTCAATATATATTATTACAAATATTTTTTCGAAGTAGTTTTTAATCTGTTGATTTTCAATAACTTCAAATACCTGGCGCTCAGCCAAATAAGTTAAAACTTTTTATATGTGGTTTCAATATATGCCCTTTAGCCTGGGTTCATACTTACATATTAATTCTATTTGTTGTGAAAGTTTCTCTGACTGTTCTTTAATGTGTTTTTGTTTAGCACCATTATACTCGATCATTTTTTTGTTGTTATTCTTGATTGTTCTCCTACTTTATTAAAACTTTTTGATGTTGTTTCCCATCAAATTTACTCTTCCTTCATCCAGTTCCAATATTGCTGCTTTTGGTGAGTTTCGTCATACTGCATAGCATTGCTTAGCACTAGTAACTTTGCTAGCACTAAGGCTCAAAACATTTTCTTTTATCTATATAAACCAATGTAGTCTACCTTCTGAGTTTTTTTCCAGAAGTAATTTACATTTGCTCCATTATTATTTTCTTGTCTCTGATCCTAATTTTTGTTCAGTTTCATTATGCGGACGCATTTAACAAATTTTAAACTTTCCAAAACTTTTTTAGAGTATCTACAAAAAAAACGTATCAAGACAAAACGTAGCAAGACTGCAACTCCTATTGAGATTGTTTTATTTGTTGAAAGAAGTTCCAATCTTTCTTACTAATTCCGTTACTTAGTTATACACTATTTCCGTTATTGTTACTCTTTCCTTTACGTTTGTTACTGTTACATCTTGTAACAGTAGCGTAGTTTTTAGTAAACTTAAAGTTATAAAAAATTGTTTATGATCAACCACGAGTCAAAAACAATTATTGAACATATCAATACTTTCAATTGAATCAACATTGGCGAATACTTTCAACTATAACGTGTTAATCATTTTTATTAAAAAAAAAAAAGATGTATTTCATGTGATAAGAGTTGTAGAGAAACATAAATATTTAAGTTCATTATTATGTGTTATCGCAATATGGGGTTAACCAAGTGGGTTAAATGCCTCTTTGTATAACTGGTAAGTTTTTTAATCTAATTAAACCAAACCATCTTTTTGACATGATCCCTTCACTATACCAATCTGGCTTTTTGTTCTCGTAAATTTGACTCGTTTGTCATAAAAATATTTATCATTTTTGTGAAAGATCATCTCTCAAAAAGAGATGATCTTTCACAAAATCCATTTTGACCTCCATTTTGACCTCCCACTATTTCCAAGTAAAAAATGTTATGTAAAAAAAAAGTGCAAACAGCCACTATTAGAGTTGAAAGTTACTGGAAGATGAAGTTTATAGAGCAAGATAACGATTGACAGACGACTTAAAAGATTGCAAGTTATAGAATCAAATCAGCAAAGCAATATAAAAGAATTTTAAAGAACTGATGTTCGAGGAAAAAAACTAAACGAATAAGAGTTTTTGGAGCATTTAGGAATAGTCACAGAAAAAAGATGAGACTTAATTGAATGACAAGTAACACGATAATGAATTTTAGTAGATGGCAAAAGAGACGCTCTTTAGAGCAGTTTCTAATATAGTATTTATAGAAAAGTGAAAGAGTGGCAACATTACGAAGATGGAATAATGGTTGGAGGTTAGCTGCATGTTTAAAATGCATATTTGCATCTTGTCTAAAAGAGAAAAGCCAATATAGGAAGATCTGCCCCAGATATAGCAACAGTATTGCATACAAGGACGGATTTGAGATTTATAGAGATAAAGAATAGAATCCGAGCACGATAAAGAGATACAACCTTAGCAGATGCTAATTTTATAATAGATTTGATATATGGTTTCCAAGAAAAATCGAAAGTAAGTGGTAATCCTAGAAGATGAAGGGTAGATGACTTATCAAGTACATTACCGTTCATAAATATAGGAAGATCTAAATTATTGCGATAAAATATATGCGCGTTTATACACTTTTTATACACTGTTACTAGTAATTTTTTAATATTATTGCAATATTTTTTTTACCCCTTAGTATGCTAGTATTACTCTGATGTTATACCTTACCTTAGTATGCTAGTATTACACTGGTATTACATCTTACCTTACCTTATTATGCTAGTATTACACTGATATATGTGTATGATAAAAATAAAAAGTTTAGTGCGAATTTCGTTATTTTTAAGCAATACAACGATGTTTCATTGATGTCATATCTTGCTGTTATTACTAAAGGATGTAACATTTCTAACGAGGTACTATTTTTTGTATATTAATTATTTTTTGTATATTAATAATTTTTTGTGTATTAATTTATTGTTATTGTACAATAACTAAAATTAAATTATTGGTTTTGCAAATTTATAAAAACTCTTGCTATTTCACTTTATTTCACTTGCTATTTTTAGATGATTGCAAAGTTGAATGCATTACCTGACCGTCATGGAGGTGGGAGAAGAGTACGAGGTTTATTGTTTTAAATAGTTCCTTAAAAATTAAGTGGATTCGACATTTAAGACACATCCGGATAAAAAAGACTTTGTAAATTTAAAAGCAAACCTTAATGCTTATGCAGTTGTGTTTTAAACTAAAATTCTTTTTTAATTGTTGTGTTTTAAACTAAAATTCTTTTTTAATATATAATTGTTTCTTGGTGTTATTTCTTAATTGTCCCAAAATTGAAATATTGTAAAGCATTGAAATATTGTTTAACATTGGTGCCATAACCTTGGTTATTCCTTGGTTTTGTTTGGTTTCTGCTTTGTTAAAAACGCGTTTGTGTGTTGGACGAGCCTGGTTGTATAAACTTGTCAAACTTAAGTTTGTATGTTAAAAACAGAAGTAGAAAAGAAGCCCTAAAAGTAATTTTTCTAGAATTTTTTTTGAATTTATTTATTTTTTATGTAACTTTTAATGCTGCATGTTGTTTTTAAGTGAAAATTTCTTGTTTCCAAAGTAAAATTTAATGTAGAATACAACGGAATAGAGAAATTTTGTAACTAATGTCAGGAAAGTGAAATAATTTCATTTTTTTGAATCATTTTTTATAAATTTTACCCTAGCTATGCACATAGCAACAATAAAGCCTTTTTTTTCAATGCTTTTATTAATTCCTCGTCTCTGTCTGTTAATCTGTTAACATCAAATCTTGCAATCAGTTTTTGAGTTAATTCCTGATGATAGATTTTCTTTAAATTTTGCATAGGGGAGAGTAGGGTAATGGCGAACGCGGGGTAACTCCGAACATGGTCCAAAAGGCATGGTAGAAAAAGATAATTGACAATTTCTTTTTGCCTTTTGAAAGAGTGTCCTAAACTTAGTTCTAGACTTGCAGTCGTGTGGTGAAGCTGCGCTCGTTGTTTCTAATAAATTGATCATAACTTTTTCTGATAATTTCATGAAATATTTTACTTGAGAAACCTTGTTGTAGCTACTATGAATATAAAACCACTCCTTTTGTTGTTGTTGTTGGTGCATAGTACCATAATCAAGGAGTTTTTAACACGCTATATATTTTGAGTATGTCGATAAAACCTCAGTAGATTAATCCTACTTTATTTGTTTGTGTCCGCGGGGAAATAACGAACGATCTTAGTGGGGTAATTCCGAACGTCTAAAGTGTCATTGATAACACGTGGACGTTATGCGGCCAGAATTTTAATGTTTTATACTTTTGTCATATTTGATTTTAACAGATAAATTGTTAGATTATATTATTAATTATGTTCGATTTTAACAGATAAAACAAATATTTGTATATATATTGATTTTCACTTAATAGAGTAAGAACCAGAGAATTTAAAAAAAACATTCCACTATTATTCCACTAGTTCGTCCACTATTATTCCACTAGTTCGTCCACTATTATTCCACTAGTTCGTCCACTATTATTCCACTAGTTCGCCAATGAGGAATATTTTAGAGCAAAAGAAAACGAAGAAGTAAAATATACTAATGGTAAAAGTAAAAGGAGAAAAAAGAACTTTAATCTGTTTGAACCTGACTATGTATAATCATTTAAAGAAAAAAAGAGAGCCAGAGGCAAGAGCGTATTCATAGGGAGGGAGGGAATCGCCCTCCTTAGAAAGTTTTTAAATTTTTTATTTTTGTAAGATTGTATATTAAACACAGGAAGTTGTTTGAAAACGGAAATAACATAGTTAGGCTGTCTAAATAAAATTGCAATTTTAAAAAAATTATGTGGTACAAATTCAAAGTTGTGTGATTACTTCCTTAAAAAATTATTATATCCGAAATTCGCCCTCCCTCTATACTAGATCGTCTGCATCCGAAAATCGCCCCTTCCCCCTCCTTTACGACATGGTCTGGATCCGCCCTTGACCAGAAGTGATACAGAACTTTTTTGTTTAATTTGCGAAGAAAAGGATAAGGATTCACCCACAGAAGACTGGAACATGTGTCATAAATGCTAGTCCTGGTTGCACAAAAGTGCATAGCTAATCTTAAAAGAGTTTTGTTGTACTAAGTTGGGATGATCCTCTCATGAAAGACTAGATTATGTATTACAGTTGTAAGGCCTGGTGGAGGTGAGCATATCCTGAGGGTTTTTTTGTTATTTTTGCACTTAGTTATTACAATTAGCATTTTATTCGTTATTACACAACAGTGTGTGTGATTAACCCAAGGTGTGATCGGAATTAACCCACGTACGTTTGGTAATTCCGAATACCAATGGTTTTTTGGTTGCCCTAAAATTATATTTTATTATAAGATATATAAATATTGCTTTTGAGGGTTTGTGACTGAATAGTTAGACTTAATGATAAACAATAAAAATCATCAATTTTGTATAACTGGTGTCTTTAATTCGCATTCCCGCTTAGGTGTTCGTTAATACCCCACTCTCCCCTATATACTCTTGCTTGATGACAATACAGTATTCAATAATTAGTTTTACAAAAAGTCAATTTATTTAGTTAATTTTAATTAAGTTTATTTTTTATATGGGAAGAAGAATTTTTAAAATAAGAATATTATTTGTTCCTACTTAAACGCGCGTTTTATTCTATGTTTTATTCTTCTCACATAAAGTTGAAAACCTACTTGTAAGAAAAGCGTTATCTACTTTGTTTTTAATTTGATTATCTACTTTGATTAAATTAAATTTGACTCGATTGCTTTTTTTTACAGTTCTACAATGCAAATATTACTTTGTTTATGTATCAGTTGCGAAGTGTAGTAAGAACATATTTTAATAAAAAATTAGTCTTAATTATGGAAGAGTCTACTAAAGTCTAGCAAAGAACTAAAGTTACTGGAACGTAAAAAGTGTTTTTTTGGTAACCAACACACTTTTTTTTTTTTTTTTTTTAAGTTCACATTTGTTGTCGTAGTAAAAAAAATACTTTCACAAACACAAACAAGGTTTTTGAAAGAAGATCGTACTGATCTTATCATCAGAACCTTTTACAAGCGTGTGTATATAAACTACATCAAAACATAATCAACAAAATAAAACGTAATAAACAATAAAAGTTCTAAAAAATATATATATATATAATTACGATTAAAAAAATCTGACTACATCATCCATTAAAATAATTAAACTTTTCAGTTTATAATTGAAAAAGGGAAAAGTAAAATGCATGTCGAATTCGGACAAAATAATTTTATTTCAAAGACAGGGTGCACTATTTCCATTTCAAAACTGATTAAACTTGGTTCGACAAAAGGGCTCATATATAAAATTATTGTTTCTAAGTGTATATTTATTTAGTGGTTTCAAACAAAAGAGATCTTTGAAAACAGGTATAGATATGTCATTTTTCCACATATACATAAACCACAAAATATTAAAAACATTAAGTTCATAAATATTGAGAACTTTCATTTCGATAAAAATGAGTGTATCGATCCGCAAAATTTATTAAACGGATTGCATGTTTCTGGCGGCGATAAAGGCATTTTAACTTTTTTCTGTGCTTCCCCATGCAACATTAGCATAGTTTAAATAACTATGAATTAATGAGTAATATAGTTGAGTTAAACTTTTTTTTACATAAATATGTTCTGGTTTTATATAGAGTTCTAATATTTTTAGAAATTTTTGTACCAATATAGTTGATATGCGTTTTCCTTGTTATGTTTTCATCAAGAAAAATACCTAAAAACTTTGTTACATTATGTCTTTTTATTTCAACATCATCAATAAAAATTTTAGACAAACTTCGGGGTAAATAAGCTTTTTTAGAGACTGGGTGGAAAAAAACCCAATTTGTTTTTTTAATGTTAAGAGTTAGTTTGTTGCATTTAAACCATTTGGATATACTTTTAAGTTCATCATTCATAGTATAAAAGAGTTTGCAAATGTCATTATCGGAAAAGAATAAGTTAGTGTCATCAGCAAACATGATACTCATTAAATTTGAGGCTTTATTTAGATCGTTTATATAAATCAAGAACAATAGTGATCCCAAAATGAAAGCTTGTGGAACGCCACATGAAATGTTTAGAAATTTATTTGGATGATCATTATTGCTGAAAAAAAAATTGCTTACGGTTGGATAGATAGCTTTTGAACCATTTTATAACTTTGCAATTTATTCTATAATATTTTAGCTTTTGTAGTAAAATTTCATGGTCGACAGTATCGAATGCTTTCGTAAGGTCGATGAAAACACCTAATGTAAATTTAGACTTTTAAAAAGAAGATTTCACGTACAAATTGGATAACTGCATGTTCTGTGGAATTATTTCTTTTAAAGCCGAATTGATAGTTGTATAAAAAATTATTAGAATGAAGATAATTGTATAATCTATTGTACATAATACGTTCTAATATTTTTGAAAATGTGGAGAGGACAGAGGGCGATAATTACTGATAATTGTTTGATCACCTTCTTTTTAAATTGGAGTAAATTTAGCAATTTTTAGTTGTTCAGGAAAAACTCCTTAGCGTATAGATGCTCCATAGACTTTAAATAGGATATCTTTTAAGTATTCAAAACATTCTATGACTATATTACCGTTTATGTCATCTGCTCCGGTTGATTTTTTTTAAGAGTTTTGAAAGCTTTTACAAACTCTTGAAAAGATAATTCAGAAGTTAACTTTATCATCACTACCATCATTAACAAACTCAAAAAAATATTTAGACATTGATACTAGTTATTCAAGATAAGCCAGCAAAATTGAGTATATTATAAGTGATATTACAAATAAAAATGATGAAAGTTTTTAAATAGTTAAATTTAATCTTTATGTTGTCCACAGTATATTAGCGATAATAGCTTGGTATTGATAAAAAAACTTAATAAATAAAAAAGTATTAGCGATAATAGCTTGGTATTGATAAGAAACTTAGTGGAAAAAAAGGTATTAGCGATAATAGCTTTTTATTAATAGAAAACTAGGTGGAAAAAAAAGTACTAGTGATAATCGCTTGGTATTAATAGAAAACTTTGTAAAAAAAAAAACTTCAAATATAATTTGTTGCAGAAAAGATTTCTATACGTCTAAGGTTTGTAATCACACTCACGATACTAATCTTTGTATTGTATATAGCATAAAATCAATTGGGTAAGGGTATTCAGGACTTGAAAAGTTGTATTGGTTCAGCAAGAAGTATAAAAGTGGCTAGAGTC